AATAAAAATAAAATAAAATCCGCCGAGGAAAGGTTGCGGGCGATTTTGATACATCGGTACTGTCCCAACTGTTTGTCGCCATTCCATCCGATAGAAATATGTGGAAGCAATGACCGATGCCACCGCTGCGACGAAAAGCACCATACCTCCCTGCATATTGAAGACTACGGCGATCCAAGGGAAACGACGGAAAATCACCCCGATAACGACGACGGCTCTGACGTAGCGATTTCGCTCCACGTTTCCGACCAAACGACGTCATGGGCGAAGCAGGTAGAGGAAGAAGAGGTCGAAAGACGGGAAGAGATAATCCCTTCACCACCAGACGGCGGCTTGAAAACCCGCAATTTTCGACCGCCGCTACAGCACGAACTTGAAGCAGACAGTCCCATGCCAGCAGTGCTGACACACACACAGCCAACGGGCGGTCAACGAGATGACGCGGAAACTAGTCCTTTTCGCTCATATCGGCGCGGAACCAATTCTGGCCACCGAGATGATGCGGAAACTCGTCCTTTTCGCTCGTCGCGCTGGCAAGCAATAAGGGCCGCACGACACCGACGTGGCGACCGTTCCTCCCTCACCATCCAACGCATTCCATCGGGTGGATTCCGGACAGGCAAGTTAAAAAAAAATCGCGGTTCCAGCACCAATAATGCGCTCATTCGTAGCCATCGCCCCAACCGCAATTGTACGGATCGAGTCAGGCGGCCGACTTCATCTGGTGCGGGCGTTGATTGACTCTTGCGCCCCCAGCAGTACCATCGACAGGGACCTAGCACGGGAGCTTCAGCTCGAAGCCAGCAACGCCCGCGCGAAAACATGTTCCCTCGTGCTGCGAGGAAAGTACGGGGTCGCGGAACGGGTAAATACTCAGGCCAGGCTAGTTACGCGATACAACCGACTCAGCCCCGCGGCTGACATCGACCCAACGATAGCGACGCCGTTTCAATTTATGCGTCTGGCGGATCCACAGTTCTATCGGGCCACCCCCACTCGACTAACACTTGGCGCTGATGTGTACGCCCAGGTCATGGTATGTGGCACTCCGCCAACAACGATCGGCGGTTTACTGGCGCAAGCTTCCATGTTCGGGCTGATTATATCAGGAGCTCACCAAATGTGACAAAACAGTTAAAATTTTATATTTAGTATTCATGAATACATACCGAATTTAAATAAAAGTGCAATAAAATGATCAACCACACCTTTTTTACTTATTAGCTTTTTCTTCCATTTTTCCCCGTAGCTAGAGACTGCATGGAGGACCGGAGAACGTTCGGACAAGATCCCCCGGCAAGGACCAATCTGCGGCAGAATTCACAAAGTTAAAGAACATAATTTACAATGTAAATAAATGTAAATGTAAGGTGTGGTGGCTGAATCATCTTTGAGACGTTGCTTATAGCAAGGGGGCCGGTTTCCGGCTCGAAGGACCATGAAAAACCCTGACGACTTAATGGGTATAGACTCGATAAGTGCACCAGTGTTTTTTATTG